CCCCAAAACCCCAAAACCCCAAAACCCCATTAAGCCAATACTCAGAGGTTAATGGATAGGAAGAAATAAAATTGTTAAGTTATAAAATTATAATTGAGGAAGAATAATGAATAATTCTAGGTAGCCAACCATTGTATCAACAAAAGAAGTTCTCAATCGAGCATAAGGTAAGTAAATTCTAAAATTCTAATAAACCATAGAGCCCATTAATAAGTCAGAGGTCAGACAATCTAGTATGAATCCTTTACTCTCCTCAACTAAAAAGGGTATCTCATTTCAAGAATTTATAAGCTTTTTTAGATCCAATGAAAGATCCTGGGAATGCTGAAAGCGTTGGTCAATCTGCTACTAAATAACTATACTAAGTTATTGCAAACCCAAGAGCAAACTTCATATTCAAAGGCATTAATACTCATAACCAAGGTGCTCATGCTCCGTAAACTACAACTTAGAATTTTGACTTTAATAGGACGGCAAGATCCTCCATGGAAAGAATATATAAGAGTTCTACTGTCACAAAAGCCTCTTCAAATTATTAGGCTCCTGTGTATGTAGAAAACAAGTAATTCTTCTACGATATTGCATTTATCCCAGCCTAAAAGGAGCACAAGTAAATAGATAAAGATTTGATACATGAATCTGTTTACGGCAAGAATTGGAGAGAAAAGATCACAAAGTCAATGGTGACATAAAAGCTTCATAATGAATCACAGTAGTTTAATAAGCATCTGGCCTCTACTGAATCGAGTATTCAGGACAACATAATGCCTCAGATAGTCGTCAATAAGAAGAAAAAGAATCTTAATGAGGTATCTTCACTTTACATTTCATCAGAGGATGATTCAGAAAGACCTGACACAAATGAGAGCAAGAGATTTGAGAATGAAGGATCTCCGAAAAACAAGGCAATTAACCAGAGTATGGGAATAAAAAGCATTATGTCCAACTATTCTACTAAAATGTCTAAGTTCAACACAACTTCAAGATTTAAGTAATCTCATAACACAAGATTGATGGGAAGAGGTAGTTCTATTCAGCATCAGGAGTATATACTAGAAGATGAGAATGAAAAAAATGCAATTGCAGACTCAAGATACGTTGTCAGACCTAAAAAGACATTTAATTTCTCTCAAAGAATCAGTGAGTAAGCTGTATTCGATTACTACAGGAATTTCAAGAATTTAAAGGCATCAATCGAAAGAGAGGATGATTAAGTATTTCCATAGTCAGCCTATATAAGCTCATGTGAGAAATCAAATTTAGTTCCTCGACCTTATGGACTTGTTTCCTACAAAGGAGATGACGAAGAACTTAATGTTAAAAATTTTTTGATGGGTAATAAGTATGCGAAAGCTTATAGTAACGGTTTGAAACTACTAAAGACTAAAAAAATTAATGTTTCACATAATAGACTAAATGCAAATGGCACTATGAACATTTTGAAAGGTTTGAATAAGTAGACAGTTGAGGATGTTGATTTGAGTAATAATAAGATGGGACTTGAAGGAGTCAAATATCTAGCCGATGTGATAGTATAAGGTATAGAAGGATTAAATCTCAGAATTTTAAAGCTTGAATAAACATAGCTTGCTGATGTCTCTATAAATTATCTAGTATCTGCTCTTGATTAAGCCTCAGATCTGAATAAGTCTATTTTATAAGAGCTGAACTTAGCTTGCAATTAAATATCTTGTATGGGAGCTGAGAAAATAGCTTCATATCTGACTAAGAATCCAGTGGCTTTAAGAGTTTTGAATTTACATTGGAATAAAATTAAGATTAAAGGAGGGCTTAAATTAGCTGAATCACTCTAACACAATAGTAATCTTAAAGTCTTAGATCTGAGTTGGAATGCATTAGGTAAATCTAATGTAACGTTCGCAGGATAGATGACGATAAATGACATTAAAAAGAAGCTAAGAGGAGCAGGTTCAATAGGAAATCAAGAAGAAGCAATGTTCTAAATATCAGAGATGGAAAAATCAGAGTCTGAGATTTAAGTTGGTAAAGCTTGGGGAAAAGCTCTGGGGTACAATAAATATCTCATCCATTTAGATCTTAGCTATAATTGCTTTGGAGTAGAAACCTGTAGAATAATGTAGAAAAAGATCAAGAAGAATCATACTCTCTTTGGGTTGCATTTAGCAGGAAATGCTTGCACTGTCGACACTCATGGATTTATTTAGATAGAATCTGATGAACTTTAGTTGATGTAAAAACCAGGGACAGCTGAAGGTAAAGTAAAGACAGGAAGTGCAGCTAAAAGAATCACTGCATCCAGATAATAAAAGCAAAGAGCAAAGAATAGCGTAGCAGATATGATAATTAATTCTCCTTAGAAGGAGGTGCTATTTAAAAGAATGGAAGGTCTAAAAGCTGTTATAAAGAAAAGAAATCAAAGTTTTGGAAATTCCCCAACTAAAACAAACTTTAGTCAACTAAGCAATTATCATGGAGGTTCTCCAACATTAAGACCAAACAAAACTAGCATGAATATTGTTGAAAACAGCTACACAAATTTGCAGTAGAGTTAATCCAATTTTAATTAAGCTGGAGCAGCTCTCTAAAAGTTTAAGGTGAAAGACAATTGTTGGATATGCGAAGGATGGTCTGAATTCAGATTTGAACTCAGAGTACCTTAGCATATTGGTGCTGAAGTTTATTTGCACTTTGATTTCGATGACTACAGACCTGACCTTATGGTTTCAACTAATGCTGGTGTTTATTCATGCTGGAGAATGGTACCTCCAGGAGCTCATCATTATTTCATGTCTGTGAATGGTGAAGAATACTTCACAAGCGGTACAAATATCATGATAATAGATGAAAACCTAATAAGAACAATTGACAATAAGCTGTAGAAAAATTTTAAGGCAACTTACAAAAGAATATTTACAAATCAAAAAGTAAACTTTTTAGAGTCTGCCTTTTAAAACGACCACTAACAGTCCATTTAGTCAAACCAAGTTAACCTCAGAAATCTAAATAATAGTAGTCCTGCCCCTTAAACTCCACAAAGTGCCAGAACGAATATGATGGAAAGGAGACATTTGGCTTAGTCAAGTAGCATAGTATATTCTAATTTTAGCAATCAAGTAGGAAGTTAAGGTCCAGTCATAAATATTCCTGAGACATTTTCTATATCAAGAATAAAAAACTGCGTTCCAAGACCAGATAAAAAGTTCTTAACTTAGAAGCAAGAGAGGCCAAGAACACCTTGGACCTTCCCAATCAGTCTTTTCAGAGAATATAAGCCTGAAACTGCAGTACTTGTAAATGATTGCTTTGAATTCGATTGGTAGTGCTTGAAAAAGCCAAAGCTAAAGAAATCTACTGAAGATGAATTGAAAGAAAAGTGTAAAGAAATTTATCCATTTATTAGAGAGATATATAAAAGACTTTCTGCTCTAGGTATTGTTGGAACTATATTTTCTATCGGCTGGAATGTGTACAGAGAGTTTATGATACAAACCTTAAACATAATTGAAAAGGATAAATTGAAGCCAGATGATTGTGACAGACTTTTCATTGGAGTTAATGCAGGTAACCAGAGAAAAGCACCATTCATTCCTGAAAAAGGTCTTGTTAGATTTTAATTCTTAGAGATATTGATAAAAGCAGCAATTAAAAGATTTTTTGAAAGTGGGGATGTAGAAAATGAGACTGATGCTATGGATAATCTAATTAGAGATTTTATAGTTCCCCTAAAGGAAACGAATGATATTAATTATCCCTATTTTTACAATCAGCATAGATGGAGAGTTGAAAGATACTGGAATGAACCTTGTGATAATATTTACAAGGCTTTCGCACCTCTCTTTACTTATATTTACAATACTTTTGGAGGTACTCATAAGAAGCCAGGTCAAAAGACTTTTATGACTTTAGATGAATTTGATTTACTAATCTAAACATCTGGATTGATAAACGATTTATTGAATCAAAGAGATATAGCTCTGCATTTCAACTTCTCCATGATGTGCTAAGTAAACGAAATAGACTATGATAGACATTTATGCGCTTAATATATAGAATTTTTGGAAGCTTTCGCAAGAGCTTGCGATTAAGCAAGTATTGTAATCACCCCAACTCAAACAAAATCAGGAGAGGAGGGTGATGATCCTAATTAGGAGTATATGATGACTGAGGAGGAGAGATAATCTATGCCTCTTCACATCAAAATTGAGAGTGCTATCCAATATTTGTTGAAGAATTGCTGTAGTTAGAAAGGATTCCTAGATAAATTTGAGATGCCAAAAAAGCATCCCTAAGTAGGTCTTTATATTCTTCCTAACAAGAAATATTTTTGATCCTCATAGTCTCACCTAAATGTCTTATTCTTATAAGACAAATATTTTTAATTATTTAAGAAATATTCCTTAAGAACTTTAAATGCCACAATAAGGGGTTTTGGGGTTTTGGGGTTTTGGGG